GTGAGATAGCTTGATTCGACACATAGCTTAAGAAAAAAAGAAAGACTTTAAAATAATCTAAAATGAATGATAAAAATTTATGTGACTATGAATCATTTTATAAAGGGTAAAATGAACATTTTAAAGTTAAATTATTACTTGATATAAAAATGTCATTCTTTTTTAAAAAAGGGATTAAAAAAGAAAGTAAATCATATAATTGGGACAAGTGAAATAATATTTATTCCTTTCCCAGATATTATTGCTTCTACTTGAATTATTTTTTACCTTTGGAAAAATCAAATGACCAATTTCATCTCCCCCTTATCAAATGTTCCTTACTATAATTTTTGTACCCTATGTACTTCGGGAATTTCAGAAAACTATATAATTAGCCAATTACATTGCAAAAATATACTCATAAATTTACGTTAAATATTTGAGATAATTATATAGAATATCAAACTAATAATATAAAATAAATATAGTAGTTACTGTTTGATTTATTTGTGTTCCATAGCAAACTGTTTGTCAGTCTCTCTCTCCCTCATATTCTCGCTCGCCTCTCTCGCTTTATACAATAGAATTGTATAAATTGTGTTTCTAATTATATAAAGCGGGAGAAAATTATATAAACTAATGCAAATACATATATCTTCGTCCTATACACTTATTTATACTATACAAATATTTTCCTGCCAAGTCTCTTTTGCCTTTCTCGTTTTATACAAATTCAAATTATATATAATTTCTCTCTTTCTCGTTTTATACAATTCGATTCAATTGTATATTCCCTGCACAAGTCTCTTTTTGCCTTTCTCTCTTTCTCGGTTCATACAAATTCAAATTGTATATAGTTTCTCTCTTTCTCGTTTTATACAATTCAATTCTGCCTTTCTCGCTTTCTCCTTTTATACAATTCAAATTGTATATAATTTCTCTCTTTCTCGTTTTATACAATTCGCTTTAATTCTATATGTGTAGCGAATTATACATATATAAGTTTGCTATGGAGCGCAATTATACAAACTTTGCTATAGCATAAAATATGAATTTTATGTTTGCTATATGTGAAAGTTGCCCTAAATTTTTAGCCCAACATCATTCGAGATATAACATTATACATCCCGTATATATAATAATATACAAAACTTACATTTTTTTTACAAAACTATTTATGAACCCGATAAAAAATATTATACACCTAATATATAATATTAAATAAAATTACAAGAGATATTTATACATCGATATATAATATTATACACCATTATATAAAGAAGTGATTTCATCGTTTTCCTCGAATCCAAAACTAGATTCATCCGAAAATACTTTAAAATCTACACCAAATCACCCAAAAATTCATATTTAGACTCCTCAATATAACTTATCTTTTGGAACAGTACACACTCAAAATAAATGTAATTTGCAAAAATCTGATTTTCGGAAAGATATGTCTTTCTATTTTTCTCCTCATGTCATTCAAATAGATAGCCAAAAGTTGGAATAATGATGATCTTCCTAAGAGCATGTTTGGATTAGCCTATGATAAGTGTTTTTAAATATTTTTTTAATGTAAGGGAGATGGTAAAAATATGCTTTTAAACATCACTTTTAGGTTAAAAAGATAATAAGTGAAAATTATAAGTTAGAATTCTTAAAGTAAAGTCCAAAGCTTTAAGATCATCCAAATATGCTTTAAGTAAATTAAGAGCTCCGTTTATTTGTTTGGTTCTTGTTCACCCTATGCAATACATTTTTTTAATTGGTTTCTGGTGTCTGATATTTATATATTGGATTCCGAGCAGATCTAGATTTGTGATAAAAAATCTCAGATTACGATATCGGAGACTCGAACTTGAGACATCTGGTTAAGGATGAAAAAATACTTACCACTATCACAATATTATTCTTTTTTTTTGAGAAAATACATCAAATGAAAAACTTAAACTTGTCCACTAAACTTACTTTAGTACAACTTTAGAATAATTATTTTACCCCCTAATCTCATTTCAAGTGAATTAAGATCCACCCCAAAAGCTGACTTGACAAATTAAAAAAAGCGAGTAAAAACGTTAAAAGTAAAAAAAAAAATAATTAAAAATAAGCCTTTTTTTTCTTTCCAACCAAAAAGACTCCACCATCTGACCACCTTTATCCACCAACAAAACTCTCCCTTTCTTTCTCCAACCCCCCCCCCCCCCCCCGACACCCCTTCTTCGTCTAAACACCCTTACTTATTCCTTCATTTGCTTATTCATTTCAAATTATGCTTCAAGATCTTACATATGAAAAGGTTTGTTGATAGTGATTAGGGGTGACAAAATGAGTAAATAACATGGGTATTCATTCTCATTATCCATTTTAAATGAATTCGATATCCAACTCGTTTTAAAATGGGTAAAAAACGAGTAATACCCATACTAGTCATTTAAAAATGGATACTTAAATGAATAAAATGGGTAAAAGCAAATTAAAAAAAATGATAAAGGATTGGGTATTAAAAAAGTTTTTTGTTACTTAAACATGAAACTTTTTTTTACATTTAATTTGGGATAGGAGGGTAGGAGTGGGAGGGGAGTTGGCAGGGGGTAGTGGGTATGGAGGGTCTAGGGGGTAATTTTTTTTAAAAAAAAATTAAAAATATTAATGAAAAAATTAAAAGTTTTGTTAATTTTATTTGGGATGGAGTGTTGAGGAGGGGAGTAGGGATGGAATGTTTGGTGGTACGGGGGTCGGGCGGTAGCTTCTAAATTTTTTTTTGGATGGGGTGAATGTGTGTGTTGTGGGGGGGGGGGGGGGAGGGGGTGGCTGGTAGGGGTTGGGTGAATCTTTTATTTTTTTAAACATTTTTTTGGGAGGTACCGGGGGTGGGGGTGGGGTGGGGGGGATTAGGGGTGGAGTGAAGTGATAAAGAAATTAATTATTTTTTGTTTTAAAAAGTTTTAACAAGATCTCTAATATAATATGGGTAAATATGATTATTCATATTTAAATAATTTTTAAAGTGGCGTTGACGTGACAATGATATGGCGCTAATGTGATAGTGAAATGGCGCATGCTCAATACACTTGTTACTGTGAGATTGGTATTGCAGTACTAGGAGTGAAATTAATTTAAAGATGTTATGAGATATTCAAAACGCCCATGTAATTTAAGTGATATAATAAGTTGTGCTGCCTAAGTTCAATTTGGTTTTTATGTATACAATCATTTGCTAAATTAATGAAATAATTAAATGAAATTCTATATGTTATTTAGTTAGAAGACTTATATTTGGCATAAGACTGCAAGGCAAGTAGTGGGAATTGAGCATTTTCGTTCATCTTCAATAAAAAAGGGTTACAATTTTGATTTGAGGAAGTTCGTACATAATTATATGAAATGAATAAAACCCTAGTAGATGAAGAAAATGCTATTGGTAGTGTTGAAAATAACCCTAACGTACCAAGACATTTTTGCAATTATATATGCGAACACCAAAAACAATTTGTAGTTTTCTACGCACAAAAATAAAGTTGATCATGAACAAGATGATGTGACACTCTCATTAACTAGGAATTTCATCAAATCTTCTTTTGAAAATATATTTTTCCTTGTTTTTCCATTTATATGTTGTGTTTTTTTTACTATAGTAATTAATCCCTTTGAATTTTGGCAAAACCATTGTAGAAAAAAATCTTGTTTATTTAAATGATTTCAGCAATCAATTAAGAGACATTCTGCCAACTTCTTATCTTCCTAAATTAGACAAAGCAATGATCCATTCTTCTTTATTCACTATCTCTTTCAACAAGGCATGACAAGTGAATGTGAAGATTAATAGTGGTAAAAAGCCTTCACAAGGTGTGTTTCATTTTATGTTACTTTCATATATATGAAGTTATGATTTACATTAAGTAATGATCTCAAAATAAATGTTAGCCAAAGTAATATAAGTTACAATTTTTTGCATATTAATATGATAAAAAATACATCATAAAATATTAGCCAAAGTTCTTATAATTTGACTTTAAAAGAAAAAATCATAACAACTAAAAGTATACGAAGATAGTAAAATTTGATTATCAATTTGGTATTATAAGTCTTTGTTCTTTCTTTTTATCCTAAATGCTTCTCTCTATAGCATTTCCATTACTTCTATGATCTGATACATGTACTAACACATCTTCACTTCTAGCCAAAACTCATTTATTTTTGTTTGTCTTATTTTTAATTATTTTTTGAGAAACATAATTTATTCATCAAAATTACGAGTACAATTTAATTGATTCTTTAATACTTTTTTTGTAAGATATTAATCTATATATAATTCAAGGGTTGTCATTTGTGGCGTATTTCTCGACTGAGGATGATTTGAACTTTTGATTCTTCTTTCATAAGATATTTATCCATAATTTGAGGGTCGTTTATGTTCTTTTTTTCGATTTAGGATGATTTGAACATGATCTACATAATTGAGGGTTGTTAGTGGTGTATTTCGCAAACTAGGATGATTAAGAGTAGTTGATCTATATAATTTGAGGGTCGTTCTGATTTGGACTTGATCTACATAATTTGAGGGTCGTTACTGACACATATCTCAAACTAGGATGATTTGGACTTGATCTACATAATTCGAAGGTTATTAGTGACATATTTCTCGAATTAAGATGATTTAATTTGATATCTTTATAAATATTCCATAAGTTTAATTTGTGGAATATTTGAGATATCGAGATTTGTTTTGTCTTACATTTTTTTTTATCAGACTGCATAAAAAAGTTTCTTAAATTTTTGTGTCATCTGACAAACAAATTGAAATAGAGAGACGAAGCGTTATGTTAAACCAATGAACCATCAGCCTATCTTTGGTAAACTGCACCCTTCTACTCCACTTTCTCCTATGGTACACAATTGGTTGCCAAAAAATTGACAAGTTAACCATTCATAAGGTGAGTAGGTATTCATTTGAAAAATAAAGTAATAATGCCAACAAACTTGCTTCACAAGAAGGCAAGTTATGAGCTGGCTACTCTTTTTTTTAAAAAGGAACAGACAAGTTTGAGAGACAGCCTATCACACATGCAGCCTCACAACATATCAAAGCTTAATATTTTTCCTTAGCCTCCTACTTAACCATACTTAGTTAGCTCCTCCATTATTTCAAACTATCAGTTCCAAGCTCAACCACTGTGAAGACCGTAAACAGGTAACTCACAATCCATTATTGATCGATTTTCTGTGATTCGAGGTCAGTTAGTAGCGTATTTGTTGAACGTAGGATGATATGGACCTATTTGATTGTGCCAAAAATGTTAGGCAACACTTTGCTATGAGAAAAAACAATATTTGATGTGTTGATCATTTCTTTCTGAATTAACTGGATATTCGAGATATTTATCTTTCATCCTTTCTTCATAAATATTCTTGGTGAAATTTAAATGTGGAATCCGGATTTAAACTTGATGTATTCAGTATCTAAGGTACTAAACTTGTTGTACTTTTTTCTTTAAGTAATTTTGAGATTATGAGTTGAGATGTAAATCGTTTTTTGAGATTTTTGTACTTTGTTTGCACATTTTACCTAATGTTTTGTGTCGAAAACACTCTGTTTTAGTGATACACAACCACACTCTGTCCTCTGGCGAGAATTTTATATTTGTTATTATTTACATTTTTGTTTGTTTGTTTTTGGAAGGGCTTGGATTAATGGGTACAGAGGCACCAAGTTGGGCAGATCAATGGGGGACAGGAGGATTTGGTGCAATGGATGAAGAGGAAATTAGTAAGAAAGAGAATGATAGTAACAAGAAAAGCAGTGGACTTGGGAAAGCTAAAGCAGTGGCATTGGCTAGTGCTAAAAAGATGAAGAATGGCACTTGTGTAGCTATCAAATGGTTAAAAAGTAAATGCCACAAGAAAAACATCATCTCTTCTTCTTGATGATCTTATGTAAATCCAGATCAGACATGTTTTAACCACATTCATTTACAAGGAAAGAGTTATACATTACTAAACATATTAGTTGATTGCTTTGCAATTTCTATCTATATATAATATTACATGCTACTATATATTCTTGATCACTCCAATAAATTTTAAACAGAAACCATACTAACCAATAGAAGGTTTTTTTTTATTTGTCTCCCAGCCCCCACCCCTTTTGCTCCTTTGGTGACTCGAACTCGCAACCTTTGAATTAGAAGTGAGGAGTGCTTACCATCCAACTAACTCCCTCTCGTCAACCAACGGAAGCTAGAAAAGATGAAAAATAAATGTTGCAACAAGTTGTATATACACATAAACTTAGTTGATAAATAGTACAGGAAAAGATCACTCAAATATATATCTCAAGTGTTCTAAACATGTTTATCGTACTGAGGTGTAGGTACACTATAGTGAGGATGTCCAATTGGACACCCTTCATCGGAAAATAATATCGTATATATAAGGAAAATGATACACAAAGTGATCAAATAACATATTTTGGACACCATTAACAAAAACAACATGTTGTAGCCCAATGGTCTTAGATGCCTTGAAAGAGCCCTATGTGTTCAAATTCCCTCTAACCACAATTTTTCCCCCTCTTTTTTGGACACCCTTCATGGAATTTCTGGCTCCGCGCGCAGATGGAGGTATTATTAAGGATAAGGTATACTTCTTTGAAGTTGTACAACATCTTTACTTACCAGTTGGATGTAAAATGTTTATTTAGAAAGCCAAATGTAACATACTCAGTACTCATGAGATCGATCACATGAACAAACAATCACATAAACTGTGACTCAGTATCTAAATTGTTTAGTTGAGGAACAAGTTTTTTTACTTCGTCCTATATATGAGATTAATTAGTTTGTCATCATTAAAAATTACAGAGGCTAACCTAAAGTTCTAAAACTCAAGAATATCATCTTCTTCTTTTCCTCTTATGTGAACTTGTTGGATAATAGAACATCACAACTTGTTATAATCTTCTGGTTCCTCTCTTGATGTAATACACACGAGATATGCGAGCTTCTCGTAATTTTCCTTTGTACCCATCTGATCTTTGTAACAACAGTTGAAGAATAGGTGTTCAATGTTGTCACTTTCAACATCACACACTTCTCCAAAACAAGACACTCAAATAGTGCTGGAAGAAATTAGTTTTATAATGATCACCATTCATCGTGTTACGGTGCAAAATCAGAAGTGACTTTGTTGGGTAGAATTTTATAGTCTGCAACACTTCATTCACGTAGTATAGAAATACTTAAAGACAACAAACTTAAATAATGAACAAACGCTTTACAGGACGAATTCTTCCCAACCTTTATTAATCTTAAAATCAATACAAGGGAAAAGGCTTCATGAATTTTTCTAAGGCCAGAATCAATCTCCCCAGCCTTAAACGAAATTTCCACCCATATAAATTTTTTGTTACATGCGACACATGTCCAACACTTGTCATCACAGGATTTAAACTAAGCTTCCAAAAATTATATTTCTAACAAATAATTATTCTTATATCTAAAAGAAATAACAATATTCTAACAGTTAGAATATTTCAGCTATATTCCAACACTTGGAATATTTGAGCCTTGTTCCAACACTTTGAATATTTCAGCTGTGTTCCAACACTAAGAATATTTCAGCAAAATCCATGTGAATGCCTTTGCTTTGCCATCGTCAAGTCCCCACATACTTGCCTTGTCAAGCCAACACACTGCCTTGTCCTTCTGCCCAACACACAGAATTGTCATACTTGTATCCCTGAAATACTCATGAAAATCTCTTATCTGTATTCTTATATCTGAAAAGTATTATAATCTCCCATAGCAACTGTTGGTTGTCATGTATACTCCTTAATTGTTCCCACAAACTTGTTCTATCTGCTACAGTGTGTAGAGCATAAATAGCTGTGAAGCTAAATGTAATCTACGTTCCACCTCTAATCGAGGATCCCATAATATCCAGATTCTTGCCTTACTACTAGCAGATAGATAGTTTGTTATATATACGTTGTGTTCAACTCATCAAAAGCCTATCGTAATCAAAACAGTGTTAAGTCTAACAATAATGAATATATAATGCAACGTTTGGAAATTTCATAGTCTAATTCCAAAGGGATGAGCTAGGTACATCTTGGGATAACTTACATGACTATTCTACAAATGCTTATTCCGCTAAGTTAAAAGGTATATAGTTATGTATTATATGTCATACATATATTAACTTAAGCACACTCAAATAGTGTGTAGAAATTCAACATCATGATCAAATATATATACAAATTAATCAAACAGAAACAATATTCTTCAATTAATACTACGTTGGAATTTGTATGTCAATCCCACGGAAACTAAACTTTCGACATACAAAGCATTAGTTGTCATCGAAATTTAGTATATTCATTTTTTCGCGGGTCATACTCAATAAAAGAACAATCCGTCTTTCTCCATAGTATGTTCCCATTCTCTTCTGCGGACCACTTAGACATTATAATGAGTGAATCTAAAGTAGTAAACTTGTTGATACAATTCCACCCATCTTTCTCCAGCAACCAAATCAAATTTTCCTTGCCATCACCCAATTCATGTAATAAAATTTTTCATCTACTAGATGGAAAGATATGACTGCCCTGTTTACTGACATTCACACTGATTATGGTCTAGGTACCTGTGAGAAGAAGAACCAGCGTCCAACATTGATTTTTAATAGAGTATACTTCAACAATGTTGAAGTACTCGTTTATCAAGTAATGTGCACATACATATAACCTTGTAATCTTGGGCCACAAAATCATAGGCAAAACCAAATATTGGAAATGTCGTCAAACAACGATTTTTATTCAGAGATGATTTTGTATTTTCCAATTGAATAATGTCATGCTATAGCCAGGATGATATGACGTCATTAAGAGCAAGCCGCTACATGAAAAAACTTGTATATAAAAAAAGTTAATACGGAATTCTGGGATATTCACATACACAACTTTTGAATCGGCATTAATGGATGCTTGCGTTGACTTCATAATTAATTAATTTTTCAATTACACAAAGTGAACGAGATTAATCATACATGATTCATTGCTTTAAATTAACACATCATGCATTACTTTATCAAACTCTTACAATTCCTATAATTTGTCTTTTTATTTTTTTAACTTAACTTATCAAATTCTAACACTTTTAAATTAGTAACCAATCTTTGTTAATATAATAATGATTAGAATTTGAACAGTTCATTAAGTATTTAAGTGTAGGTTAATTAGTAGTATCATGTCAAAAAGAATTTCAAAAAACATAAAAAAACACTATATAAAGGTAACAAATGATTTCCATTTCCTTCAAGTTTTGTTTCTTTAGTTGAGCATCTGATCTTCCTTTTAAGTTTTTTTTTCCTTAAATTTTTCCTTTTGCGTGAACTAAAGAAAATGAGAAATGGAGAAACATGTAGAGTTGATATAGGGATCTTCATTTATATATATATATATATATATATATATATATATATATATATATATATATATCATTATCATTATGTCTACTTCATAATGAAAAATTAATAATTATAATTTTGAATTACATATTTAAAATGTCAAAAAAATAGTAATAAAAAAGAAAAATTGTTAATTCGGAATAAAAATAATATACTTATCAATAATATGTTCTAGATGTTATATTAATTAGAAAATAATTACAAGTATTAGAGACTTAATAATAATAATAATAATTTAAATTACATATTTAAAATGTCAAAAAAAATATTAATAAAAATAGAAAAACTGTTAATTCGGGATGAAAGTAGTATACTTATCAATAATATATTCTAGATGTTATATTAATTGGAAAATAATTACAAATATTAGAGATTTAATTAATAATATTATATAATATAAACAATATTAAAATAACTTTAAATTACATCTTTGAAATGACCATCTCTTTTTTAAAAAAATAAAATAGAAATTTTTTAATTTGGGTGGATGTGGTAACTTGTTAATAATTTATTTTAGATGTTGTGTTACATTAGAAAATAATTACGAATGATAAAAAAAATTAAATAGTAATATAATAGAAGTAATATTAAAATAATCAAAAAGTAAAATAGAGAGGTGATCGAGTAGTTTTTTTCCAATTTAACCTACTATTCACCTTTGTATAATTGAAGAATAAAGCGTGATTGAAGAACATATTCTCTATTTTACTTTCCGCATATAGAGACTGGAGAGTAAAAAAGAGATGAGTTGGAGATAATCTTAGACCTTTGCCTTAGAATATTTTTCACAAGGCTCAAGCTCATTAATGAGTTCACTGACCGTGGATCCTTTCACCTTTCTTGAACCCGTTCGTAGACCATTGCTTTTGGATATTTTTTCATAATGTTCGGGTTCAAGGTTGGGTTCACTGACCGCGGATCCTTTCACCTTCCTTGAACCCGTTTTTACAACTCCACTTTTCACATTTTTCCAACTTGTTTTTCTTATTCCAACTTCCGATTGACTTTTACACTTCCGAGGTGTTACAGTACTCAATAAAACTCAACTCAACACCCTGACCTACTTGTAGTCAGGGGCGGAGCTACAACCAATGATGGGTGTGCAGGTGAACACCCTTCGCCGGAAAATTATACCGTATATATAGGTCAAATTACTGAAATTATATATATATATATACATATGTTTGAGCACACTAGACAAGATTAGAGACCTTAGCTCAATGGTAAAGAGCAAGTTAGAAGTTTGGATGCCTGAGGTTGGAGGTTTGATCCTCGGTAACCTTAAGTTTTTTAATTAGTGATCAAAACTCACTATAATTCTCCACACCCTTCATAAAATGTCTGGCTCCATCACTACTTGTAGTTGAAAATTCACAAAGCGAAAAATGTCCAACATATTTTGACAGAGGTAGTAAGTCTTCTTTTTCTTTTTGTGTCTTTTATCTTTGTCTCCACTCGCAAAGAAACTAGAAATCGAATTCACGTTACATCAAACATTGAATCTACCAGACAAAGGAAATTACTTAGAAGATGCCCACAAAGGAATAAACAAGCCACAAGTGCATTGATAATAATTGAATTTAAGTTTTAATTAACCATAACATAATATAGTATAAAAATAATTTTAGTGATGTTTTTTTTATTTGAAAGTTCGTGGAGACAGGAGATGCTTACCTAAATTAACCAACAATCAATATATATGTTAGCGTTTGTTTTTGACCAAGTGTTGCTATTAGTATCAAATTATGCATGTAATTGGGCTAAAAGAATAACATGATAGAGAATATAGAATATATTAGACCTTAGAATAATAAAAGAAAAGGAAAACTACATAAATGGGTCATCTTAATTCAAGAAATACTTAATCTCTATTAATATGAATGATAAAAGAAAAATGTGATTGGCCAAAATAATAATTGCGTCTGCCGGGAGTCGAACCCGGGTCTATTGCTTGGAAGGCAATTATCCTAACCGTTGGACTACAAACGCTAAGTTGCTTCAAAATTAGTCTGTAACATACTATTTCATTCGTTCTATTGAATGTGAGATAATTTTACTCGACACATAGTTTAAGAAAAAAAGAAAGACTTTTAATGATCTAAAATGAATGATAGAAAAAATTGTGACTATGAATCATTATATAAAGAGTAAAATGAACATTTTAAAGTTAAATTATTACTTAATATAAAGATGTCATTCTTTTTAAAAAACGGATTAAAAAAGAAAGTAATTCATATAAATTTGGACAAACGAAATAATATTTATTCCTTTCCTAGATATTATTGCTTCTACTTGAATCATTTTTTACCTTTGGAAAAATCAAATGACCAATCTATAATACTTTGGGAAAATTTCAGAAAAGTAAATACTATTGCCAATTACATTGCAAAAATATACTCATAAACTAACATTACAAACTTCTAGCATAAAACATGATTCAATAAATACTACATCCGTCCACTTTTATTTTTTATGTTATGCTTTTTAAAAGTCAATTTGATTAATTTTCAAAATTAATTAGATAACTTAATTCGATATTTTAAACAAAAAATTTAGATATTCGACAACTATGCGGAGACCTCAAACAAGGTGATCCTCTTTCCCCGACCCTATTTATTTTAGGTGCTGAGGTGTTATCAAGATCTCTTAACAGGTTTCACAACCACCTGGATTACCATGGTTTCTTCATGGAAAAGAGAGGGCCCCAAGTGAATCATTTGAGTTTTGCTGACGACATAATTCTTTTCACTTCAGGAAGATGCAAAACTTTGAAACTCCTCATGACTACCTTAAGGGAGTATGAAAATACTTCTGGGCAACTCATCAATGGAGATAAAAGTCATTTTATGCTACACTCTAATGCTTTCAATAGCACTAGAGAGAGAATAAAAAGACTTACAGGTTTTAAGCATAAGTAAAGTCCTATTACTTACCTAGGCTGCCCTTTATTTACTGGCAGACCTTAGAATGTCTATTTTTCTGACCTTGTTAATAAAGTCGTTGGCAGGATTATAGGGTGGCAAACTAAACAAGTTAGCTATGGGGGCAAGGCAATTCTTACAAAGCATGTGTTACAAGCTCTTCCTATCCATCTACTTTCTACAGTAACTCCACCTATTACTATTCTTAAGCAAATCCAAATGCTTATGGCTGATTTTTTCTGGGGGTGGAATAGTGACAGGAAGAAATATCATTGAGCATCATGGAAAAATCTAAGCTTCCCTTATGATGAGGGAGGAGTAGATATGAGGAACTTAAAAGATGTTTGCAAGGAATTCCAATTCAAACAATGGTGAATTTTCAGATCAAAGCAAATACCGTGGGGTGATTTCTTGAAGGCAAAATATTGCCAAAGGTCCAATCCAGTCAGCAAAAAAAGGAATACTAGGGATTTATTAACTTGGAAAAACTTATTGATAAACAGGCCACAAGTTGAGCAACACATCCAATGGAAGCTGCAAGCTGGAAACAACTCATTTTGGTGGGATAATTGGCTAGGTTGTGGACCATTAGCACACTTTACCTCCAGCAGCAACAGACTCAATAATTCCACAGTTGCAGATTTTGGGAAGAAGGGAGATGGAGTTAGAGCAGACTGTTGGAGCAGGCACCAGCCAGTCAACTCTCCAACATCCTAACAACAGAAATTTCCCCCCTCCAGCACCTACCAGATCAGGCAGTATGGAAACCCAACATCCATACTCTCTTCTATGGCATAAGAACATTTCATTTAAATCTTCTTTTTTGCTATGGAGAGCCCTTAGGGGTAAACTCCCTACTAATGACAAGATTACTAATTTTGGCGTTGAGCCATCAACTTGTGTTTGCTGTTTTGACAGGTCGGGAATGGATTCCATAGAGCATATCTTCAGCACTGGAAAATTTGCAGCAGCAGTTTGGAGCAGTTTTGCTGCTACTGCAGGCATGCTGTCGGATTGCTCCTCCCTACAGGCCCTAATACAACAATGGTGGGCTGTCAGACCAAGAAATGCAGCACACAAGACACTACTACAAGCCACACCTATTTTCATATGCTGGAACCTTTGGAAGAACAGATGTGCAGCCAAATATGGGGGCAAAACAGCCAACATAAGCAAGGTCAAATATGCCATATACAAAGACAATTACAAGATGCTTACCAATGCCTTCCCACAGGTTAAATGGCCAGCAAAATGGGCAGAATTGATCCATATGAGTGAAAGGTGCGTGCATGACATCAAGGTAAACATGGTGACTTGGACTAGACCTAAAGATCAGTGGATCAAAGTAAACACTGATGGCAGCGCAATCAATAATCCAGGCAAGATGGGGGTTGGTGGTATTTTGAGAGATAAAAGTGATAGGTTGGTGATGGCATTAACAACACCACTTGGAGAGGGGACAAACAACAAGGCTGAATTAGAGGCAGTCATCCTCGGATTGACTTGGGCACTCGAACTTGGATACAAGAATATAATATTGGAACTTGTCTCCCAATTGGTTGTGCATTGGATCTTAAAGGAGGCAGCCCCTCAATGGAGCATTATCACACAGCTGGGAAGGTTACAGAACCTTATTTCTCAAACCCAGAATTTCAAGTGCCTACATGTATTCAGGGAAGCTAATTGGGTGGCTGATGCACTTTCAAAACACAGTCACAAGACAACCACTCCGCAGGTTTACTTCAACATCCAACAAATGCCTAAGGAAGCAAGGTCATACAATCACCTTCACTTGCTGCAGATGCCTAGCGTTAGAAGGAAGAAGACCAAAAGAATTAAGGAACCTCCTTGATTATTCTCACTTCTTTTCAACTTAGCTATAATTAAAATTATAGCTACTTTGAATAGACTAGTTTAGTTATAGGCTTTCTTGTAAAGGGAGAGTCTCCCTAGTTTATGTTTTCTAGATACGGTGTATTGAGAGGAGTCCTCTCATTCGTGCTTAGTATTTTGATTACAACTTTTTTGTAAGGGGAAGAGTTGACTTCCTTTGGAAAGTTGACTCCGAATTATCTTAGGTAGGAGGTAAGGTTTATGCCCCCTCCTTGTATTTTGTTTTTGTTATTAATAATAAAGCCTGGGGGGTGTTGCTCAGCCCCTGGCCCACCACAAGAGTCGTTTAACTAAAAAAAAAAATTATGCGGAAAATATTATGAATTACGATTCTTTGCTTATTAATATAGTGAAAAAATATATAATAAAATGTAAATCAAATTTCTTATTGTTTGACTCTAAAAAATGAAAAACATGACAATCCAGTCTATAATCATATGCAAAACTTTCATACTTTTTTTACAAAACTATTTTAAACCTGATGTAGAATATTAGACACTTAATATATAATATTATATAAAATTATAAGAGGTATTTATACACCCATGTACAATATTACACACTATTATGTTAAAAAAAACTGATTTAATCTTTTTCCCTAAATCCAAAATCAGATTAATGTATAAATACTTTAAAAGCTACACCAAATCACCCAAAATTTCATATTTAGGTTCCTCAATATAACTTTCTTTTGCAACAATAAGAATTAGGCTCTAGCATACAGACGAAGAAAATGCTATTGGTAGAGTTGAAAATATCCCTAATATAGTATCTTTTGCAGTTAATTATGTGGAATATATACGATATAATTTTTGTTTAGATACAACTTTGTTGTACATAATATTATTTTGTGGATATTATGCATAATATAACATGTTTTTTGTTATATTACTTCTTATTTTGTATTTATTCTATCTGTATGCCTACTAATTTTATATTTTTATCATCAAATTGTATTCAACCTTGACAATGGATACAAATTTTAATCCAAACACAAGATGAGATGGGAACAATGAACTAAACACTTTGTAAAAATAATTTTTGCATTACTAATTCATGCACTATTAATTCCTATATTATTAATTTTTGTACAAAACAAGCAAGTTGTGCCAAAATAATAATTTAATATTAAAGAGTAATTTAATCCATAATTTGTTTATGAACAATTGTATCTGTACTTAGGCTTATAATGAACTAGTGAATTGAACCGCGCTTCGCGCTGAAATAATTATTGTTAAAGTAGTTCTTTTAGAAGACTTAAGTAATAATATTTTAATCACAAACATAAACTAATAAAATTTCATGTTTTAATCTAATTTATTATTAGCAGTTACTATCCTTATAACTTTCCATCCCTTGAAAGTGTTGATAGATTTCGAAGAACAATTGATCTACTCGTGTCTAGATTAAATCATAGTCTTCCTTTGTGTATTATTTAACATATGTATATATGTACTTGTTTTTCCTTTTTCTTTAGAATTTATTGCATAGTTCTAACTTTTAGTTGCACGCCTACTTGTAAAAATATACTTATTTTATTAAATTAGGTATTTTTTATATCATATTCATAGATCGATCATATTTTTACTCTTACAATAGTTTAATTTTCTGAATGTTCACATGGAATTCGATTATAATATCATATTAAATTAAATTTAACTTAAAGATTAATTTTTTTAAAAGAAAAAATTGGTCAAGCCTTATAAGTTATAAGGAGACCCATAGAACCTTGAAAATTTCTTCCTTCATCATATTTTCTATCACACGATGACACGCGTAATTTTAAAATGTATCCCCTCTTGTTCTCAAGCATGTGAACAGGTAAAAAAGTTATAAAATATTTTGTATAGTCTTTCATTGAAATATCCTGTGCTATATTTTTGTTGGCTAGTGAAAATCAAGCAAAACGTAACATTGGAATTCAAAGATGCATGTGGCATGAGGTTAATTGAGAACTTCTTAATTAATCTTTCTAAGCCAAAGTTGTTGGTAATATCTACTTGTAAATTGTCGAAACAGTACCCATATATAATATAAAGTCCGATGATACTATGGAATTGGAAATATGCCCATTGAAATGTCACAGCGTAAGACATTTAAATCAAAATACGTTTGATATAACATATAAAACTGTCAATAAAAATTAATATCATTATAATTAATCTCAAAATTTCTCTGTTATCTAACTAACCACCACTATTATCTCCTAAGGCATGAATATAAAAAGACATGAGAAAAAGTAACGTCAGGAAAAGCAACGGAAGCAAATAATTAACATGATAAATGCACTAAAAAAATAATAGCCATCTTCAACTATTATTTAATTGTGTTATGTATAAATGAATAATAATAGTAGATTTTTTTGTACAAAAATCTATAGATTGAGCTACACTTTTTTTTAAATAATAATAATAATTATTATTATCATATGCAAAAGTAAATTTTAATAAATTTTGCAATAATAATCTATTTTAAAGCACCATATATAATTAAGTGACGAAATTATGTTGACCTTTCCAAATGCTCGAGCACCCATTAAACTTTACTTTAAAATCTTGGAGCCACCGCTACTCTAATCAATAGACATTTTCAATAGAGACTACTAACAGAAGCACTATGCGGAAACCTATATACTCCTAATCAATTTGTTTCTATGCACTATGTCGATACAATAGGTAAATAAAGTTCAATAAAAGAGCTAGCAAATACTAAAAAAATAAAAAATTTCTGTCCAGTAAAATTTCTTCAGCTGTATTCAGGAACTAAGCTAAACTTTCAGTTAAGTTTGAGTGAATTGAGTAACTTCAATCCAAACTTTATATGTATCTTAATAAATCTATCAACTCTACAAATTATTGATTTAATTAAAATCCAATAATATAAAAGAATCAAAATTTGAAACTCATAAGCTTGAAATTGACTATATAGACTCTTTTCGTCCACTATCAAAATTTGTCATACTTGTCATTTTTAGAGTCAATCTATAAAAATTTTGACTAACATTTTACAATATATTTTTTCATCATATTGCTATGCAAACAATTGCTATGTATAGTACTTTCCGTATAGTTTTAAAATATCTGAATTTCTTGTTCAAAATATCAAATAAATGTAATTTAATTTAAATTTAAAATTTATTAATTTGACTTTCAAAAAACACAACATAACAACTAAAAATGACAAAAAGTATTATATATATGTATATATTTCAATTATTGGAATCATACAATTGCACAGAAGAGAGCCTTAAATATCACAATCTTGAATTGTTTGTTACTTTTCCTTTGTGATTTAACGTTAGAAACACTCTTTGCCACAATTTATATGCAGATTCACTCTCATTGTTTATTAAAACATGAATTGACGTGAGTTATCGAATAGCCTTTTGCAATTTAATTAGGAAATGGAAGTTTTTCATTTAATTGAGTAATTATCTAGGCAATTTTAAAATTATTATAAATAAGATAAACACGCCCAGTACTACATCACCTTTTTTGTTATAAATATAGATTAATACACAAATACGCCCACTCCAGAACATGAAGATTACATTTGAAGCTAGTAACCATAAGATAAATTATTTCTCTGTCAAAAATAAAATAGCAAACATCTAATTTAGGAGAAACAAAATTGAGTTCACCTAAAAAAGAGTTCAAAGTGTCTGCTTGCAATCCGTTTGTTTGCCCTTTCTCAGGTGAAGCAAATTTCTTCCCCGAGGATTATGAATTATGATTTTCACCATCCCAACTATGTTCTTGTGAAGATTCAAAGGGTTAATGGTAGTCTTTTGAAACTTGTCATCGTTCTTTTTCTCCTTTCCTGTTGCATTGCGATACTATTGCTGATATTTGACCACTTCCAGCAGCATCCTTATTTCATCCATGGGCAACTGAGCATGCTCAACCTTAGTGTTCTCTTTGTATAAAATCTATATCATCAAGAAGTTATCTCTTCCTAGTGCTCAGCATCAACAATCTTGTGCTTCACGTGATTTAACTTTTTCTTCTCAAAGATACTCTGTTAGACGGAGTTGATATAAACTTTGGCTTCATTAGTTCCAAATTTGACATTACAATATCAATTTAGTAATAAACTACAATCCTCATACTAAAATATTACTTTGTATTTTGTAAAAGGAAAAATGACTATACACATATATTTACATATACTCACTGTAAGCAAGATGTGATGTTGTGGACGGGATTGCTATCCTTGTAAACAGAGGTCTTGGTTCAAATCTTTGGTAGAGTACTTCCGTACCAATGGAGCCTTATTATGTATGAGTCCATATATAACTGGGCTTCAGTGCGAATATAAAAAATATTCCATAAAAACTGACACACTTCCGATAGAAAGAACTTGGCAAAACATTGTGAACTTCTGCCCTATTTCTAAGAAAAAGAATATAATTTTATCAGAGTGATATCAGCAAATCATTTTTGTTCCAATGCTAGATAATTCATGATCAAATTACAGTAGCATAGAAGGAAGAAAAGGTTGAAATTACAACCAGAGAAAAGGAAAACAAAAATAGGATAAGTTTTGAGGTATACCTGGAGATGGAGCTTTTGCTCGCAAAGAGGATGATGTGATGGGACTTCTGCGTATAGCTTTACAGAGGCGGCCGAGGAGACATTAATTTTGAATTCAGAATGCCAAACGACGTATGCAATTATTATGGGCTTAATTTGAGGAAACGGTTAAAGGGATACAATTATAACGTCTTTCTGTTTTTAAACTTTAATTAGTTAAAAGACATTAATATGGAAAAATAGGAAAAAATTTGAGAAAGTATATAAATCAATTTCCTGGCCACATCAGCAAACTAAAGATCCTCTTTTATATATAGATTCATCATCCAAGAAATGTTATTTAATACAGTTTCCTATGTTTTATTAATTCATATAACTGCCCATATTTTAAAATAGGAAAATGAAGAGAATAGTTAGTAACTGAACGTGTTTCCTCTTGTGAGTTACTAATTTTATTCAAGTAGCTATATAGTTTAATTTAATTTAAAGTAGATCAGAATCTAAACCGTAAAAGGGAACTAATGATTTCTATTTAGTAATAAATAAAATTAAATAAATAAAAATAACAAATAAAATAGATGTGTTTAACTAGATCTGTAGATCCATTTTAACTCTGCCACCCAAATGGAAAGAAAGGAAGTATAATTAAATAATAAATAATAAAAATTATAGTTATATACTATTTTATATATAAACACACGTTATATATTTATTAGTTTGATATAAACACGTATGGATATGTAAATTTTTACTGTATACTCTATATTTTATTCAAATATCTTGTTTATGTTCTAATGATCCGAGAACGTTATTTATTTCTGTAAGGAAGAGATTGGATCAACAACTGTCTCATAGGTAAAATTAAATTTCTTATAAAAAAAAGTTTTATGAAACTAATATACCTCTTAACTTTACGATTTAGAATTAACTGAAAAGGCTCAAATATATATATATATAGAGAGAGAGAGAGAGAGAGACTAAGGCCTCATTTCTTTGCACTTAATGGAGGTCTGAATCTTAATCATTCAGATTCAGCCTATTAAGTACGTTTAGTTTTTAAGTCTGAATCTGAATCATTTCGATTCAGCCCATTAAGTTCATTTGTTTTATTTTTTAAAAAACCTCTTAATGAGTCTGAAGAGGTCTCAACGAATTATATTTGTAAGAGATTCTTAACAACATTCAGACTCATTTAATAACTTACTAAATAATAAACCATTGTTTCTCTGCTTTAAATGTGCCTTTTTATCTCAAATCTAAAAATTTTCTTTTTGTCTTTTCTCAATGAAACATCATTGTTTTCTTATTGAACTGGTAAGTTTTCATAAATAGTTTTTTTTATATTAATAATTTTCTTGTATTGACTGTGTCAAGAACACAGTTGGTGTATTGGTGTTTATCAAAGATTTTTGAATGAAAAAAATTGTACTCCAAATCATGATTATTAAAAAAAATTTAAAAAAAATTTAATCGAAGGAGATAAATTTTGTTTAAATGAAATTTGTATGAAATTTTATTAATTTAATGTTAATTTACATGCAGATTCAGATATTAAAAACAAACAACATTAATTATTTAGTGTTCAGATTTAGAGACTACATCTTAATATTCAGATGTGTATTCAGCTCTAAACATCTAAATCTTAATCAAAATCTTAATATTCAGATGTATATTCAGATTCAAACCTCTTAATCTTAATGGAAACAAATGTGGTCTAATACATTAATGGCCCATATATGGTTTAACGGAAGCGAAAAAGAATTGACTATAAATTATTATTTTGAATTTTGAATTTTTTTAAAAAATCATTGTATGACTCAATATGAGTATATTTGATCTTCCTCACAAATGAATATTTTTAATTTTTTTAATTCAATGGCTAATTTAGGTGTATTCTTTTGATGATCAAATTTGTTTTTCATTATTTATTTTTTATTGATACAAAAATAAATAATAATATAGTCGGAAAAAAATCTTCCTTTTTTCTCTTTTTTCATTCACACTTCATTATTCTTATTTCTCATAATTTTTTTTATTTTAAACCACGAATGAAAAAAAATGAAATAAGAAAGTTAAATAATAATAAGCAAATAGATCTATAAGAGATATTTAAATATCTTACAAAAAAGACGTAAAACTAAAAACCATAACTTGTAAGTAACCAGTAAAATCATTTCTCCCCAAAAAATAAATATATGCTACTTATATTATTATAATTTAAAAAGGGAAAAGACTCAAATATGTCATCAAACTTTTAGAAAAGGCTCATTTATGTTATTCATTTAAAGTTTGGCTCATCTACATCATTGTTGTTATAGAAAATACTCATCTATGTCATCCGTCTTTCCTTCAATATCTCATCCTCTAGGCCTTTGGTGACCGGGCGATTTTAGGTCTTTACTTCTTTTTTTTTTCTTAGAAAAATTTCAGAAATAACAAAGATAAAAAAAGATATAAGGTTGTATAGCTATAGTTTCGGTAACTGCGCTTCATAGCTATAATTTTATTCGTTATGAAGGATGTGGTTTGTATATTTCGCTTGTAAATATACAAACAGGGAAGAATATACAAATGGAGGTTGCGATTTGTATATTTCACTTGCGAATATACAAACATAGTAAGTATATAAATTCTGTATCTATACATTTAGGAATTTTTCAGAACTCCATTTGTATATTTCGCTGCTAATACACAAACATGATAATTTATTATGAATTTTTCTTAAATCGTACACAAATAGCTAGGTAGCCACATATTAAAAAAAATCGAAGCTATAGTTATATTACATAATATATTCTAGATGTTTGTCATCTCGCATAATTTTTCTCATTTTTTTGTTTTCCACCTAGTGTTCGGAGTCCACATTAGAGCCCCGACTAAATATCGATCGTGTACTATAGGGCACATTCGAAAGTGACACTCCCAATATGATTTTCTCCATACCAGGGCTCAAACTCCGAGACCTGTAGTTAAGGGTGAAACAACTTCACCACCATAACCCATGTTGGTGAGTCTTTGCTCTTTAGTTATCTTTTAATTAATTAGGTTTAAACTTAAAAATACTATAATAGATACTCAATCAAACAATACAAGAAAAATCTATGCAAAGGTTCCTATTAAAAGCTTAAGATCAAACAGTAGCAACAAGGTTTTATATTCTTCGCTTCTTGGTGAAAAATTAAATTGCTTCTTCAAGAATATGCTTGCGAAAGAAATGCTTTAATAATGGTGTATTTTGAGGTGAAATTTTAAAATTAAAAAACATGAACATTAACCAAAACGTACTGATATCAAAGAGAAACTGATACAATTGAAATAACTTTAAGAAAAATCCAATTATGGTTATACATTATAAAATAACTGAAAAATTGAGATGGTATAATTTTTTAAAAGTAACCGGCCGAATTGTCCATTAATAATTTCTTATATATGTATTGTTTTGGCTATGGCCAATTATGTTGAAAGAGATAAAAGAAATAACTAAAATATATTACTGAACTTAATGAAATGGTTCACATATGTCACTCGTAAAAAAGGGATGAGATGGGTTGGAGTTGATTAATAATGAAGGATTTAGATAATATCACATTACACTAGTAGGGCTTTGTTAGCACAAGTGAACCAAGTGTGTCATGTGATGGCATAAATAACTCCAACTATTAATAAAAGACATGATTGAGGCATTCTGAAACTTTGATGACATATTTGATTGTTTTCTAAATTTATATTTTATATATTTAAAAAGAAGTTCAAATTTCATATTCAAACAAAATTTCGAGTTCAAATCAACGTGATTTCAGATCAGTAATTTTAAATTATGATTTGAAATCATATTCAAACGAGCCCTGAGAAGAAAGGGAAAGAAAAGGTCTACTCTATTTTTAGCAGTGTCCTTCAGTTTTTATGCTTACTTAAGAAGTAGTTGGGGATCAAGGATCTTTATCTCTCACATCTGAGTGCAATGGTAAAAACAATGACTTCCGAAGCTCTCTTCTTTGCTGTGCTGTTATTTTCAGCTCTCTCTCTGCATTTGCAGAGGAGGAGGAGGATGATAATCCTGGCATTGTTATGACTATTACAAAGACACATGCCCACAATCTGAAGATATTATTAAAGAGCAAGTTAACCAACAACAACAGAACAATGCATTTTCTTGGCTATGGAACGTCTTCCATGACTGCTTTGTTGAGGTACAAACACTCTCTCTCTCACTCTTTTCTCTCACGTCATTTTTGATTGTTTTGTGGTTGCAGTCATATAATGTTTCATTGCTGCTCGAATTAACCAGTGGAATGCTGTCTGAGATGGAGACAGACAGGAGTTTTGGCATGAGAAACTTCAGATACATTGACACAATTAAGGAAGCTGTAGAAAGGGAATCCCATGATTTTGTTTCCTGTACTGATGTTATCGTCTTGTCTGGTAGAGATGGCATTGTTGCTGTAAGTTAATGTTGTTACTTTTTTATCATAGTGTTACCTACTGTCAATATCATAGACGAATTCAAGATCTTGAGTTAAGTGGGTTCACATGAGTACGATCTTATTAACGTTGTTGTGCACATTTAGGAGGGCCTCACATCCCACTCAAAACTGGAAGGAGGCATGGCAGGAGGAGCAGAGCAGATATTCTTGAGCAACACCTTCCAAGCCACAATGGAAGTTTAGTGTTGTGCTTGAGAGGTTTGCCAATATTGGAATTAACACTCCTGGAGTTGTTGCCTTGCTAGGTATACTTACTATACACATCCATAATACCTTGAATTTTTCGGATCAATTATTAGCAAAGAAAAAAGAAAAAGAAAATGACAGTTTGGTGCATTAAACTCTATGAATGAGGTCATGGGAAGAGCCATACCACAGTTTGATTATACACAGCCTTATCTTGCATTTCTGATAGATATTTTTCTTCACGGGTTGAACATGCAAAACCCTTTTTCTCTGGTCAATTATTAGGAGTCGGAGAAAAAGAGACCGAAGTTAATTATCTCTCATTTCTCTTTCAGGTGCTCACAGTGTGTTCTTCCCACAGTGTATTAAGTTGGTTCAGCGTTTATATCCCGAAGTGGACCCTCAACTCAACCCTGAACACGTACACCACATTCTTAAGAAATGCCCAAACTCAAAGGCCGTGCATTATGTGAGAAATGACAGAGGCACACCCATGAAGCTAGACAACAACTACTACAGGAACATATTGGACAACAAGGGATTGATGTTGGTGGACCAACTAGCTATAGATAAAAGGGCCAAATTATATGTAAAGAAAATGGCAAAGAGCCAACACTACTTCTTCAAGGAATTTTCAAGAGCCATAACAGTTCTCTCTAAGAACAACCCTCTCACCGGCACAAAGGGTGAGATCAGAAAGCAGTTATCTTGCCAACAAGCACTAGGAACTTGCTTTTCTACTACTTGTATCCTCCGTTTCCACTTCTGTATGTGAGGAGAGGACAAAGATAATATAGAAATAAGGCGGTGTTTCCCAGTTGGTGTTTGTTTTAAATGCAAGTATAACGGGTTTAAGATAGTTTATGGAAGTAGTAGTGACCATGTTCATTACATTCCCAGCTGCTTCTGTAAGTGTCTTAACAGCTGCTACTTTTTAGGCTGTAAGTTTTATGTTGGTGATGGGCCATAATATAAAATGTGTTTGTTCTATCTCTTTATCATAAAGATACGAAGCAGAGTCCATCAACTTTATATTGGATTATGACCCTTCATTGCCATTTCCTCAATCATTAGATTATGGCCTTGAGTGCTATTACAAGTAGAGGACTCGAATGCAAAGACACTATCAGACAGGTGCTAGATAAAAGGACATCTTGTTCATGAAATGTAATGGAACTTTTGCACTATCAATTCATCGCAATCTGGAATTTTTTTTCCAAGAATTGAGTGATGACATTGGAAGGGCACAACGTATGTATTTGTTGAGCAAGTTCTTAGTTCAAGAGAGAAGGCATATTAACATGTACCAATACACTAATACCCTAGTTATAGGTTGACAAGGTCGTAAGACCAGAACACCAAATATTCAGAAAGGTCATCAACCCATCCGTCTATATCTTGAGCTGACGCAAAAGGCTTCAACCTATGCTTTTCGGAGCTGTTGTTCTAACTCTTTGATCATCTGAACATTCCCTTTAATCTTTTGACCACCTTAGAAGTTTTGATCTTAAAATGAATAATCATTTACTCAAAAAAAAGTCGACAAAGTTTAGAATGAAAATGCATGCTAATATTGTTTCTTCTCATTTCAACTTATCGAGGGTTGATGCAATGAGGAAAAGAATAAGGTAAAGCTAGCAGAAGTACTTTTTACTTTCTCCTTTTGGGCGTTCAGGAGTTGTTGCTTCTGTGAACATCAGTAGTTTTAGGTTCAGTAAGGCTTAACAGAAGCAGTTTTACAAAATACCTGGTTAATTGGTATAGTGGCTCTGAAAAGCATCCATTCCATCGTTGACAATAGAAATAGAATGGCATGCTGAATGCAAATTAGTCAACTATACAGAAGTTGAATAACTAAGTTAATCTACTTACAATAATTAAGTTCGTTGGTCGACATACACTTTTCATCCCCTACACATGTTCATTTTAAATTTCTAGGACCTTGAGCAGCTTCAGAAACATAAAAGATATGAGGTTCTTTATTTTTATTGTAACAAAGTATAATAAGGTGAAATGTGTTTCCTTTGAATATCGAATAAATTAAAACGGTGCATGACAAAGAAACTAGTCCCTCTATGACAAAAAAAATGAAAGCATGATACGGTGCTCAAGATCCGCAAATTTAACTCTCATTGGATATTCAGATATTCATTTCTCAAGTACTATAAATCAAACTTTCTTTTTGTTGAAATATTAAAATAATTTTAAAAAAAACTTAATCAAAGAAAAACAGTCTGATTTCTCAAAAAAGTAACACTGCATTCTTTTTGGGGTGGAATGAACATAAATTATAAATATATGAATTTTACCAGCTATTCCGCTTTAAATTCGATGTACACCAAAATGCTTCCTGTACTCCAACTTCTTTCCAACGTAGTCAAAGCAAATAAATATAGATTGGATATACCAGGTATAACAAGTACATCAAGAATACCTCTTCCGCGTTTTCTGAATCTTCTCTTCTTGCAGCCCAACTCTCTCTACATAGTGCTGGCTGCTGAACAGCTCTGCTTGCAAGGTTACTGTTTCAAGGAACTAAAAAGGTTTATCTTGGGGCTGTGTTCCGCTCCTCATCATCGCACAGAACTCCTCATAATTGATCCTGCCGTCCTGTTTAAGTGAAAGAGTATAGATAAAATCTTGTATCATAATAGAGATACAAATGTTAAAACATTGCATCAGAAAATACTTACATGGTCTGTGTCCACCTCTACTATAATTTCCCTGATGGTGTCCTCATCGCCCATACCATACTCCTTCATAGCACTTTCCAGTTCGTCTTTTGTTATGAAGCTGAATCATATTAAATAAAATTAAGAGGTGAACTTCTCAAAAGGAGTGATCTGTGAAAACATAATGCCTGAGACAGATCCAATCAAATCCGTAGATTAAGGATTTCTTAAGCAGGATTAACTTGTTACTCATGAAACATATCTAACTTGACCGTATTTAGTACAAGAAAAAACCCTCCGACCTCAGGCATTGTGTGTCTAAGTGTACCGGATGACACTTAGCAAGATGAGAGGTGCCTTGGCGATGGCAAGGCAACCTTGATTTGGGCATATGCAAAGGTAAGGACAGGCGGATGTAACTAGCTAACGCATGCATGCAGATTAGTGGGACGACATGGGTGTGGTATGTGCATTGTCATGTGCCAGACGTGTACGAGGCAAGGTCTATTGGTAAGGGTGTGGCATTTTCATCAACATGTGTTGAAGATGTGCATCTAAGGGT